TCCTGTAGCTCTGATGATGAAGTAGCTGAGGCCCAGCCGAGTTCCTCGGTGCAGCAAACCCTCCCACCCAAGCAAACCAAGCAGGCAGGGAAATCCCGGGTGTCCTCCCACCCGCAGAGCCAGAAGCAGCCGGCGCAGCAGCCGGCGCAGCAGCCGGCGCAGCAGCCGGCACCGCCGCAGAGCGGCAACAAGAGCCGGCCCAAGAAGCGCGAGGGCATCCACCTGCCCACCACCAAGGAGCTGGCCAAGCGCCAGCGCCTGCCCTCCGTGGAGAACAGGCCCAAGATCGCTGCTTTCCTCCCAGCACGGCAGCTGTGGAAGTGGTTTGGGAAGCCCACGCAGGTAAATGCTCGGCACTCGGCACTGGTTTTGCCTTCTGGTGCCTCTTCCCTTTTCCTAGGGTGGTGGAACTGCTGGCGTGTCCAGTGTGCAGGGAGATGGGGGTTGGCTTTCACTGTGTTGGGGAAGCCATTCTGTGTGTCGTATCCCTCTGCCCCAATTCCTGTGGGAATACCGTGGCTCTGCCAACAGCAAAGGGATGCATGCGGGACAGGGCAAACAGTGATGTGTAGGGAAAATGTGGGTAATCCCTGGCTGACCTCTTGCATGATCCTCTCTTGGCAGAGACGAGGAATGAAGGGGAAGGCCAGGAAGCTGTTCTACAAGGCCATCGTGCGGGGCAAGGAGATCATCCGCATCGGAGACTGCGCGGTTTTCCTCTCCGCTGGCCGCCCCAACCTGCCCTACATTGGCCGGATCCAGAGCATGTGGGAATCCTGGGGCAACAACATGGTGGTCCGAGTCAAATGGTTTTATCACCCAGAAGAAACCAACCCTGGGAAGAAACTCAATGAAGGCAAGGTAGGCTGGACTCCTTTGCTGAGAGGGCTGCAAAGCTCCTTGCTCCCTTTTGTATCCAATGATGAAGAAAACAGCCAAGGCCCAGTTTGTTACTGGTACCCTGAAGGGGGTGGCCCCATGCTTTCATCTTGTGGGGGCTGCCTGTGGTGTGGGCAAGCCCAGTGTTGGCCCCTTGAAGAAGGGAGGAGTGGGTTTCTTTGTATTAGGAAATAAAGACTCTTGTGTGGGTCCAGAGAAAGTGTCAAGAGCCAGATCAAGTCTTCAGAGTGTAAGAAGGATGAGCCTGGTGCTCAGAAACACTGAATTTTGCACATGTGTGCAGCTGGTTTACAGCAGGATTTTTTCCTAGTAGCAGTGGCCAGGGGTTGAAGGTCCAAAAGCACGTGGTGGGCAAGAGGTGATGGCATGGAAAAACAAGAAATTCACCAGGTTTTCATTTCTGTTTCCTCTTTTCTTGGGCACAGCGCTGGGATCAGAAATCGGGCAGGAGTCTGGCCACAGCTTTGCAGGCATCCAACCAGAGGAAGGACTTTATGGAGGTTGGTGAGACTGGGAGAAGGCTGGGAGGGAATACTTGGTACCCTGTAACAAATAAATACTGCTGGGAAATACCCCCCAAACTTCTCTGGCTCTTGCTTTTTGCCTCAGCTGCCAAGTCTGCAGTGCCCAGGACTTGGGATGGATATTTCTGGGAGGATGGGAGTAGCTGCAGGTGCTGGGTGTGGGGAAGAACAGGGAGTTGGTATCCAGCACCCATCTTTGCATTTGCATCCTTGAAATGAGGATGGCGAACCCCTGGCCTCCATATTTCCCTGTCTGTGTGCTTGGCAGCTGCAGCATTCCCATCAGTGGGAGCCAAGTGAAAGCCAGGGCTCGGGCTCAGTGGGCTGGAGGAATTGTCCAGGCTGTCCATGGGCCTGTGCAGATTCTCAGGGTCCCTCCTCTGGCCTGGCTGTTGGGATGAGTGAGATGTTCTTGAGCATGAGCAGAGTCCTATCCCATTATGACGAGTGTTTTTCCTACTTACTGATGATGATGCTGTAAATGCTGGGTGATCTAATGGCTCTTTTTTTTTCCCACCTCCTTCCTTCTCTTCTGTTGTGCAGAGAGCCCTCTACCAGTCCTCTCACGTGGATGAAAATGATGTCCAGACCATCTCACACAAATGTCTTGTTGTTGGTCTGGATCAATATGAACAGATGCTAAAGACAAAGAAATATCAAGACAGTGAGGACCTCTACTACCTTGCAGGGACCTACGAGCCCACCACGGGCATGATCTTCAACACTGACGGGGTCCCTGTCATCTGCTGACCGCCCAGGGGACACATGCCACCCCCTGGGAAGGGATGGGACAAACCTGAGGACGTGCCTGTTCAGACGACATGATTGTTTCTTTCAATGCTCATTTCTGTGTCACACTACAGACAGGAGAGCGCAAGAGACGCGAGGAGGAAGGAGAAGGCTGAAGAAAGAGGTTGGGGAAGCAGTTACAGGACTCGAGGAAGATGCCATTGGGGGTGGTGGTGGTGCTTGAACCCCGAGGCTCTTCTGGAAGTGGCTTCAAGTAAGGTGACACTCGACCAACTTCTCCCTTCCTCCTTTTGGTCCAGGAAAGCACATGGGTCTCGTGATCATTTCACCAGCGGGACCCCCCGGCAGGAGGGATCCCTTTTGTGTCATTTTTCCCCATCAGTAACTCGGAAGCCACCCGCACGTGGAAGGACTCTCTTGCCTTCTGCGTGCGCTTCTCTCCGTCCTTATATTCCCTTTCCTGCTTAGTTTCGCATGACCCTTTATAGGAAGGACAGGGTGAAAGAGAAAGGAGATGAGTCTCTCTCAGCGCCTCGTCTCGATCCTCTCAGCGCCTTTTTGCCATTCCCTTTCCCCGGAGGCTCCTCTGGCAGCGTGTGGAGCACGACAGGGCAGGGCTGGCCCCAGCACAGAGATGGCAGAAGAGAATCCTCTGGCCTGGGAGGAGCCAGGTGGAAGAGGAGCCACTGCCTTGAACAAACACTCTGAACCCTCTGCAGCTCTGCACCCCTTCTGCCCTGCGAAGGTGCTGGAGGGAGCAAGTGGCAAGGGGGGTGACACGTGGCAAACTGAGACCTCATCTTAGAACGTGCAGTGAAGGGGCAGGAAACGACTGGGAAAAGCTGCTGCTTGGTGCTTGCAGGAGATCAGAGGCCACTGGATTCCAGCATCCCTCACCCAGCTTTACCCGCCATGCCTGAGACGTGGAGCTGCTGGGAAGCTTTGCCCATCATTTGAAGGGAATGGGGGCAGCGTGTGAACCCGGCTGTGCCTGCCCACGGTGCTCCCACAGCCAGAGCCCCGCTGCCACCTTGGGCTCGGGGACTGCACCGTTCAGCTCCCTCCATCCGGGAGGAGCTGAGCTCCCCTCGGGCACACGCCAGACCCGCGGCACCGCCACCGCTGCTCCAGGCTTACGCCTGGCAAGAGGGAACACTGGAGGAGAACCTGAGGAGAACGACGCACCATCCTTGCACTTAAAACAAAACTCCAAGAGACGCACTGATCTTTGCAACTCCCGACTCGCACTACGGATCGCCGGGACGCGGAGCGGGGCCCGGCTCGGCCCAGGCTCCGGTGGGAGATGCTTAAGCCAAGGACAGATTGGAAACTCTCCACCCTGGCTGCGTACCAGAGAATGGAGGCCGGGGCTCAGGGGTGAGGGACAGCCCCACAGAGTTACCCCTCGTCCTTTAAACAAACCACATGGTGCTGAGCTCGTACCATCTCCACCCCGGGCCACCGGCGCCTCGGCACGGCGGACAGTGACGGTTCTAGCCTGTACAGTTTTAATGTACCAAAAGACTCTTTAGCCCTCCTGTATTATAAGTCTTTAAATGGATTCAACTTTTTAATTATAAATATAAATATAAATATATATATATAAATATAAACTTTTTAAAACTGTGAAAAAAATTATGAAATTATAAAAAACAAAAAAAGAAAAAAACCCACAACGGCAGAAATGAACACAGTCTGACGTTTAGAATATTATTTTTTATTTCCTGTTGGATTGTGATTGTAAATGATCTGGGAACAGGCACACCCCCCACGCTCAAAGTGTACTGTACTTCTAGAAGCAAATTGTGTGAGCATATTTTAAAGAGCGAGAGAGAGAGCGCGCGAGAGAGATTTTATGCTAATGTTAAATAGAAAGCACTTAAAACCCACTGCCTTCTATGGAACACAAGGATATTTCAGACAATCGAGAGGAAAGGAGAGCCAGGTTTTTGTCGTTTTGTTTTGTTTTGTTTATGTTTTGTTTAAAACAATTTTTTTGGCATTCTGTTTGTTGGAGAACTCCGTGTGATCTTTTTTCATAAAAAAAAAAAAAAAATCTAATTGAAAAAAAGCAACCCAACGAAGCATCTTTCTTTGTCTCGCTTGTCCTGAGGTTTTTCTCCCCTTGGTGGCAATGATGGCTTTTTGGCTCAGCCCCTGCCCTGGAGAAAGACACAGCCCAGGTGCCTGGTGGCTTTTTGGGGAGAACCCATCTGTGGGAGCTGGTGGCAGCGATGGACAGGACTGGATGCTGGAGCAGAGGTGTTTGCTGGGCAGGGCCTGTGGCCTGGAGGTGTGAGTCCTCCCCCTGCTATGGTGCTCAGGGCACCATGTGCTGAGGATGAAACGCTGGATTTGCTCTTTTTTGGTGCGAGCTGCACTTCATACAGGCAGGAGCTTGGCATGGCCAGACCCTCCCGTGTTGCAGGGGCCAGGTCAGGGCCAGGCCTGGCACTCACTGGCTCCTTGGGCTTCCCTGGGAGGTGGCACCTGCCAGTTGGCACAGCGAGGTGCAGCTGGTCCTAAAACATGGTGTTGGCACCTTCTCCTGGTGTTTTCTGCTCCTCTTGGCCTGTTCCCTGTCCCGTGTGCTGCCCATGGCAGTTTGCAGGCTGGCAGGGGTTTGGTGTAACCCGGTGACATGTTCACCCCAGGTGACAAAGGGGGTCCTGAAGATGGAGGCCAGCACAAGGGGCACCCCAAAACCCAACAGGAAAGGCAGCAGGCACCACCCTGTGCGTGTTTGCCAGCCCAGCCCATCATCAGCAGTCAAGTGCCACCCACACACTTGTGGTGTGTGCCAGTGGCACAGCTAAGGACCAGCCATTGTTGCAAAGACATTTAATTATTTAATCAGCTTCACTTACATCCTGTGCAATAAAACGTGAAGCTCAGCAGTGGCCTGCAGGTGGCACTGGCAGTGCTGCAGCCTTGGGATCCTCCCCTGTACCCCTTGCATGGAGCAGATTCACAGTGTGGGGTGGGGGGAGGCAAGACCCTGCCTCTGTTGCAGTTAGGGGGGATAAAACAAGACACAATAAAAAAAAAAAATCTTTTTTTCCCCAACTATATGATTTGTATATTTAGGGAGGGTCTGTGATTTCAAGCCATTCCTGGTGAAAACCTGCAGCACCATCAATGGAAGTCGAGACCCACCTTCCCAGAGCCACGGGGGACTGAAGGATTGTTTCTTCTCTTGCTCCTCTTCTTCCTCACCAGCCCTCCATCACCCTCCTCCCCAGTGCTGGTCCTATTCCCTTTGGGATTTGGCAGTATTTTCTTCCTCCTGTCAATGGCTTGGCTCAAACAGAAGATCCCCAGCCTCCACTGGAGAGCTGCACATTGCTGATGGGGAGACCCCCAAAAGCAACAAGAACCATCCCCTGGGGTGGGAGGAATGTCACCCCAAGCAGTGGCCCTGCACAGTGCCTGGCTGGGCAGCACAGGCCATTTGGGAATGCCACAGCCCTGTGCCAACAGGATACCAGTCCTTGTCCATGCTGGGGTGGCTTTCTGGCTCCAGGCTCCCTCCTTGGGGAGGGATGTGGGGCCATGGTGGGAAGCAGGTCCCATCCTGTCCCCACTGCTCCGTCCCAGGGCTCAGTACCCCGAGGTGAAGGAGCCATTGGAGGTCTCGGTGTAGAAACAGGTGCTGTGGGAGGTGCTGCTGAGGCTGTAGGCAAAATACGCCACGGCCGAGCCCAGCGTCAAGCCCGTCATGTAGGACACGGTCATGGTGTTCCCTGTGGGAAGGGACATGGGCTGTCAGGGTGCTCCGGCCACAGCACGTGGGATTCCCGGGAGGGCTTGGTCCTACCTGCCAGCTCCCGCTGCTCAGGGCTGACTTTGCCTGCAGCCAGGATCATGGGCACGCTGCCGAAGTAGCCGTTGGTGATGCCCATGAGGAGGGAGAAGATGCAGGGCCAGGCGGGGTGGCCGAAGGTGGGCTGCCCGCTGGGGTAGACGCACATGATGAAGAGGGGGATGAAGACCACGCGGAGGCAGGAGTAGACGAGGAGGTGGGTTCCTCTCCAGTCGTAGGGCAGGGCAGCCAGGATCTGCAGTGAGGGGCAGACACTGCTGGGGGGATGAGGGGGCTGGAGAGGGCCCTGCTGTGCCCAAAATGGGGTGAAAAGGAGATGAGATGGAAAGACCATCTGCTGTGGGAACCCAGCCTTGGCCGTGCCGGTGAGCACCAACCTCACAGGGGTTAGACCCCCCTTTGTGGATGACCCTTGGTGGAGCCAAGTGGCTCAGAAAGACCAAAGGAGGACAGACCCACACTGTGCTGGCTCTGGCCTCTCTCCTACCTTGCCGACGAAGTCAGAGAGGTTGAAGATGGCCATGATGAGGATGGGGAGCCATTCCCCCAGCGTGCAGTTGTGGATCTCCGACTCCAGCCCGGGAAAGAGGCACAGCGTGATGAAGTAGGTCATGGCGATGGAGAGCATGTAGGCCCAGATGAGGCGGGACACGACGTAGCGGTAGAGCAGCATGTCTGGCAGGGACAGGCAGCACAGCTCAGCCAAAAGTGCAGCCCGGCCTCCTTGCAGAGCCTGAGAGCTTTGTCTGAGCCCCAGGCGTGCCTTCCAAAGATGAGTTTGGCCCATGGTTTTGGGCACATCATTAGGAAAGGGATCATAGAATCACAGAATGGTTTGGGATGGAAGGGACTGTTAAAGACCATCCAGTTTCAACCCCCTGCCATGGCCAGTGACATCTTCCACTATCCCAGGTGGCTGCAACCACCTGGCTTTGGACACTTTCAGGAATAGGGCAGCCACAGATTCTCTGGGCAGCATGTGCCAGGGCCTCCCCACCCTCACAGGGAAGAATTTCTGGATAATATCCCATCTAATCCTGTTGTCATGTCAGTTTGAAACCATTTCCCTTTGTCCTGCTATTCCATGCCCTTTTCAAAAATCCCTCTCCAGCCTTGGGGATGATCCTCCCCCATAACTGTGTTACCAATCATTTATCCCACCCTGCGGGCATGGCTTTCCCCTGAGCCCACCACTCACCTCGGAAGCTGGGCCAGCTCCTCTTGATCTTGGGCCGAGGGACATCGAAGCGCATGTAGGTGCCACTTCCAGCCAGCTCAGCTTCGGTGCCAGGGCTGCCCCGGGGGGAGCTCCCCTGCCCCTGCTCCCGGTTTTCCTGGATGAGGGGAGAGCAGTGCTGAGGTGCAGTGGCAAAGAACCCCAGGGGCCGGCAGGGAAACCCACCCTTGGCTTACTGTAGCCATGACATTTTATGAAAAATTCTTTGCTAGGATTTTTCTCCTGAGGAGCTGAGGAGCCCCAGGAAAGAAATGTAAACAATTAACTATCTGCTGTTGTGGATGCAACAGGTGCACCTCTGATTGTTGCATTTTGCTTGTTTCTAATTAATGGCCAATCAAAGATGCAGCTCCATCAGACTCTGAGAGTCACGAGCTTTTTGTTATTGATTCTATTCTTGTTCTTTCTAGCTTTTTGATGAATCCTTCCTTCTCTATTCTTTTAGCATAATTTTTAACATAGCACTGTAATACAACACACATCACAACACAATAAATCAGCCTTCCGAAACGTGGCGTCAAGACTCACAAGTCTCCTCGCACAAAACATCGAGCGGAGCTTACAAATCGGACGTCCTCGGAGGTGACATCGTGGTGCACGCGGTAGCCGCTGCCGGGCTGGCCGGCCCCGCGGCTCCCGGGGACGCCCCGGCGGGAGCAGTCGGTGTAGTAGCGCACGAAGCGCGTGCGCTTCACCAGGAGGTGGAGGATGAAGCACGTCAGCTCCATGCCGATGGAGATGAAGAAGAAGATGACGGTGTTCTCCTTCTCGTCCGACAGCAGCAGCTTGGTGAAGATGCGGCTGAGCGAGATGATGACCCCGGCGGTGCCTGGTGGCGCGGGAGAGCTGTCAGTGCTGGGCCCCGCTGAATCCCAGCTCAGGGATCCTCGTCACCCCCCACCCTGTGGATGTGATGCTTCCCCATGCAGAGGAGTCACCAGCAGCGATTTTGGGGTGATAAAGCTCCTGGCAGATGTCCTCACCCCCAGCCTGGCACGGCAGCGCAGGGACTCAGAAACCAGAAAACTCCCTGGTTTGCTGGGGAGCACCCTGGGGTATCCCTGCTCTGCTGGCTGTGCTGGGCCAGTGGGGGCCCAGGTGTGGCTCGCTGGGCCCCAGGAGAAGGTGCAAGTCCCTGTGGTGGGCTGGGGACAGGGGCAGTGGCTGTGGGTACTTACTCTCTCCTGTCATCACTCCCTGCGTGTAGCGCTTGGGCAGCAGCCCCGTGTAGCCGTAGAAGCTGGATTGCTGCACTTCAGGAGAGAGGCACACAGGGGAGAAGGAGGGATTATTGCTGCAGCCGAAACTCCGGGAAGGGGGAAGAAACCCCAGAGGGAACCCATGAGCTGTGCCAGCTGGGAGCTGCTCCTTCCAGCAGTCTCCTTGCTCCAAAAGTAGGAGAGCCTTTCTTCCCTCCCTGGGTGCTCCACTGTGTCTGTGGCCACCAGGTGTGGGGGCTTGGCATGCCACCATGGTGGCCCAGATCAGTGAATACACAGTTTGGTGCTGGTGCCCCTGGCCAGTCCCACAATGCCTGGGCAGAGGTGGATGGGATGGGGCAGAAACCTGAGGGTTACAGGGATCAGGGCAGGAGATTGTCCCAGGAGATCAGGGATGGGGCTGTTTCCCACCCCTACATGCCGTGTCCCAGCCCAGCTGCTCTGCCACATACCTGTGCAGCCAAAGGCCACCACCCCGACAGCCACCAGGTTGATGGCGTAGGCTTGTCTGCGGCTGAACAGCTCCAGCCACACGTCGCAGATGCTGACGAAGAGCAGGGGCCCCAGGGCGAAGAGGTAGCCTGTGGGGAGGAGACAGAGGTGGTGGCAGGGGCACAGCACGGGGACAGCACTGCCTGGGGGTGCAGGGACCCCACTCACCCACGGAGATGCGGGTGTGCAAGCTCAGCAGCTCCACCAGTGCGTTGTTGAGGATGACGGCCACCAAGGCCACCAGGATGTAGGTGAGGCTCATGTCAAAGACAATGGAGGTCCCTGGAGGGAAGCAGGTGATGGGGGGACAGGAGTTCAGCTCCCTTGGAAATGGGATTGAGCTCTCTCCAGGTTTGGGGTGTCAGGGAAGTGCTGGAGCCACTCCAGACCTACCTGGGTATTTATGGTGCAGGTAATCCACATCGGTGATAAAGCTGTTGTAGGGCAGGAGAAATCCCACCCCAGCCAGCAGCATGGCAAAATAAATCCCATGGTATCGATCCTGGGGCTCAGGGTCTTCAGAAACTGCCCCAGAAGAGGAAAGAAAGAGAAAAAGATGTGACAGTGGCACTGCTGCACCCCTGGGACCCACATGAGACCTCAGCCTTGAGGCGATGAAACAGCTCAGCTCCCTGTGGATGCACAAATAAACAGCCCCAGCTCTGAGAAGTTCCTTCCCTAAATGAAGACATTTCAGTGGAGACCCAGGAGGCAGGAAAACATCTGGGCTCTGGGAGTCTGGTGAGTTTAAATTGCAGCTAAACAAGCTGAGAGCCAGGCAGTGCAGGTAACAGCACAAGTCGAGGTGCAGGAAGGGTCAAAGGTGGGTGTGGAGGTGGACAGGGCTGCCTCAGGATGGGAGCAGGGCTGGGGTGAATCCCAGGAGTGTCCCTGAGTCCTGCATGGAGAAACATGAAGCTGCAGGCTGGGGGTGAGCCTGGCAGGAGAACCAGGGCACCATTCCTCAACTCCTTGCCAGCCTGCAGAGCCCACTGTCACGGGACGTGCTGGTGGCTCTCACGAGTACAAAAAGGGATGAAAAAGTGTAGTGGGCAATCTTGTGGCATTTCAAGCTATTTGTGGCTATTAAACCATCCCAGGGAGCTCCTAAGCGGGTGGGAAACCAGCAGGGAGCCCGGCTCCTGGCTGTGGCTCAGGGCCGTGCCTGCCCTCACCTGGCTCCATGAAGGTGAGGACACCCTTGGCCTGGCTGCCCCGCTGCAGCTCGTCCTCCTCCAGCTGGTAGCTGTCGAAGCTGAAGCTCATCACCACGTTCCCCTCGGGCGTCGCCGCCGGGCTCAGCTCCTTGAGGCGCTCGGCTCCCACCGAGCCCATCCTGGCACCCTGAGAGGGAGGGAGAGCAGTGACAGTGACACCCCCGGGTGCACAGGTCCCCCCCAGGGGTCTGTAAGGGACAGTGACACGTGGGTGGCCCTGAGTCTTCTCCACCTCGCTGTATCACAGCGGTTCTGATGGTTTTTCTCCGCCTGGAAAGATGATTTCCCCGAGGCAAATGGGATCCACCGACCTTCTGAGCAGAAGTTCGGCTTTGGGGTGGTGAGCAGTGCTCGTGGGGGACCCACACGAGCCACCCCCGAGGCTCAGCCTGGCTCAGCACCTCCCTGGGATGCTACCAAAGACAAACGGCGCTGTGATTTCCAAAAGCAATTAGAGAAATTAATGGGTGGAATCCACCCAGGGAAGGCGGCTGCGGGGAAGGTCCCGGCTGCCTCGGGAAGCTCTGGCTCCCTGCAGGCAGCACATTTGCTCTGCTTTTTGCCCTTTTCAGCATCTCAGGGGCAGAGCCACGGGCCGGGCAGGTACACTCCTGCAGCTTTCTGAGAGGGGATGGGATCTGACCCTGCTTTTTTCAGATCTGCTTCTCTGGGGGATCAGAGCCAGCACGGACCTGCCAGAGAGACCCCAGCATCACACCTGAGGGGCTGCACCAAATGCATCCCAAAATGAGCACTCCAAATACTCAGCATCCTCCAGTGACCCCACCAGAGTCATCCAACACAGGGTTCATCCCTGTGGTTCAACCCCAGGGGGCTGCTCTGAATTCCTTGCCCGTCCCCAGCCCACTTCCTGCAGATCTCCCTGACATCCAGGGGTGGTGATGGTGAAAAAATCTCCTCCAAGGCAGCAGGTTGAGTCAGGCAAGGGAGGAAAAATCAATGACAGTGATTTCCTTGGTCTCCCTGCCAGACATGGCGTTTGCAGGAGCAGAGAGGTTTTCCAGCTGCCAGCATGTGTTGGATGCTGGAGGGCCCTGAGGAGGGGGGCAAACGTGGTGCCCACAGACCCTGTGAGTGAGTTCCTGGGGCTTAAATTGCTTCTCTCTGCAGGGGCGGGTGCACAGGGCAGCACTGCCCCGGCCCCGAGGCTGTGCTGAGGTCACAGCACTGCTGGGGGGCTGGGATGGGGTCCGGGGTTCACCCCAAGAGCCCCCATCCCAGAGCAGAGCAGCCCAGCAGGACACGTTGTCTTGGGGACCCCGCTCCACCCTGCTGCTCCCAGGGGAGCTCTCTGCAATCCCCCTCACCCACACCCTCCTGTGCCTGCCGCCTCCCCAGGCAGTAAAACCCAGTGGGAAGCATCTCCCGGGAAGCCGAAAAGCCTGTTGCAGGATTTTTCCATAGCGGGAAGCCCAGCTGGAGAAAAAACTAGCTGGAAAAGCCTCGTACGTACTCTGTGTGGCCCAAACTTCCCGGGGCCGGGAGCGGAGCGGGATGCGGGATGCGCTGCACAGCCGCGGCGCTGGACCAACCTCCGGCACTCTCCGCCTCGCTCCCCCGAGCATCCCTGCGCTGCCGTAAATTGGATTTTCTCCTCCCGCTGGATTTACATCCGTCTGCCCCTAAGGATTTACACCCTGTGGCCCCAGCGTGGGGCGGGGGCGTTTCTCCATCGCGGGCAGGTCTCACCCCAGAGGAGCCCTTGCCCAGCTGCCCCCGGCTCTGCGCGACCCCCGGGCACCGCAGCCCTGCTGTCAGCGCACAAAAGCGCTTTTTGCTCCGGCAAGAGGGTCCCCCGACATCTTGCCAGAGGCGAAGTTGCCATAAACGGGGGGGAATTCAGTAACCCACGTCCCCGGTCGGAAGGAGAAGCTCCTGGCCGCGCCCGGAGGATGCTCGGGGGAGCCGGGGAGATGCTCGGCGGGGCCAGGGCGGGCAGGGGCTCGGAGCGGCGGCTTCCCCTCCTTTCCCCGCGGCCCCCGGCGGTCCCGGCCGAGCACAACAGGTCGCGGCGGTCCTTACCTCTCTCCACCGCGGCGGCTCTGCGGCACCGGCGCTGGCCCGCCCCGCTCAGCCCCGGCGGCCGCCGG